TAACTTCTACCGCTTAGACTTTGTTGCTTTTTCAATTTGTCCTAATAAACAATCGTGGTACAAAGCTCAATAAAAATATTAAAAATAAAAATGTTAACAAGCCACAATAACATTGACAAATAGAAACATTTATATTTCGTATGTGCATCTGCTTTGTGCAGAAACAAATCTAATTTGCCTTTACACGATATGTGTACAAATGCAAAGATATATCGTGTAAGAACACCTTTACCAACGCAGGAAATTGGCCAAGTAGCGGCAAAATTTATACATCAGTATCAGAAAGAACTTTATGTGGTGTAATAATTTTAAGATGTTTAATATCTTTTCGATTGAAATCGAATATTGTTTTCATGTGCTAAATGCTATGATTAAAGTTTTGCTACCTTTGCATATTTTTGTCAGCCACTTTAATATTGGTCACCGAGTAATTGAATATTTTTTGAAGCATGCTGTGACAGATGATTAGCGATGCCATATTTGAAGGCAAGTTCGCACTTTTAGCAGGTGTTGCCAATCGGCCCTATGCTGAATATCGTCATCGTCGACAATCGTCAGCGCATCAGTAACATGGTTGACGATGGCCGTATCGTCACTTTTACTGACGATGAAAATATTCAACATAGGGCGGAATATTCATCAATTAAATAGAAAAAATTGAAAACGAGAAATTTATCGCATGATGTGAAAGGGTGATATTGATATTTTTTCTTTTTCATTTTTATTAGACAGTTAAATTATCTACAACCAAGCCTTCTCGTACCAATAGGCTTTGGAAACAGTTCAGCACTTAAAGGAGTTTCTCTATTGTAAAGCTATTCAACTTATTCAACCATGATCGATCCTAGTTCAAGTGAAGAGGAGGGCGATGATGATCCCGTAGTCGCAGTCCCGCCCAAAGGGCGCCCAGCTGCAGCAGCATCTTCTACTTTAGCTTCCAAACCTGCTGCTAATCTCGCAGCGACAAATGCCGACTCGAGTCTTTCCAGCTCCAAACACAATGGGGAGCAATTTCAGCCCGTTTCACATAAATCAGTTAGTGGAGCATCAGGAATGCCCGGCAACGGATTTGAAAGTGGAAGTGGCAATGTGGCGGCCTGTGGGAACGGCAAGTTGGAGCACGGCGCAGGGAGCGAAGCATCCGGAAATTTAGAAGTACCAAACAGTGCCATACCAAGGTAAGCACAAGGCTCTACACGCCGACGAAAAAATTTTATACACGTAAATATGTGTTTAAGAACCCAGTTCTACACGCACTAGGTGGGTGAAAGATTACTTACTGAAAAATTCAATTTATTTATCATTCATCTTGTATAAAATTTGTCAATACATACATACATATACGTAGGTATGCGCATACTTGGTTGATGGTATTTTAGCCTGCATTTGTTTTATTAGTAGAACATTTATTTTTTAACGTTCGCCATTTATTGCGCTTGTAACTAATTAACACTTTTTTATACCTTTCATGAACCTGAACTTTTTTCCATTTTTTGTTAATACCAGAAGAAGAAGAGATAGATCCAAGAAAAAGTATACCAAAAGGATCAGAATGTAGAGCTGAGTCGATTCAGTCATGTCCGTCTGTCTGTCTGTCCCAACGCAATCTAATCCCTCAGTTTCCCAGATATCCAACTGAAATTTGGTAAGCGAATGTAATTTTATAATGTTTGAATCATTTGTCGCAATCGGAAAAATCGGGAACTAAAACATATACATAGCTTTCATATAACTGATTGTTCTGATATGAGGTTTGACTACAATACTCCCTTATTTAGACAGCTAAAACCGATCAATTCCGTCAGCTTTTTACTAATTAGTCATACGAGGTCTACTGATAAAATTGTCAAAATCGGGTTTCTGTAAAGGAGATCTGTCATACCACTGAATAACAGAACACAAACGTTTAAATTGAAGAAGTCTTCTCAAGTAAATTATGTAATAATATGGGAATACCACAAAGTTCCATTCTCGGACTTTTACTGTTCATTCTTTATATTAAAGATTTAGCGAATTGCTTAAAACATTATCAGGCTAGATTGTTCGTTGATGATACTCTTTTGTATACACTCCGCGAAATTCAATTAAAGGCGCCTAATTTCTCTTCAAAAACCGTGAATTTAAACCGCGAGAATGTTTTTTTTTTCATTTTTCTCCAAACTAAGCGATCGCTGCTGGCTAAAATTTGTTGCACACGACGTTTACATACTTGTAAGTCAAGGTCTGATACAATTTTGGAAGCCGTTGCGTTTCTTTCCACCCAGCGCGAATAATAGCGGATTTTTGCCGAGGAGAGCATTTTTGATTATTTTTATTCGACCGATTAGTATTATAATTCTTTTT